AAAAAAAAAAAACAAAACAAAAAGGGTCTCTGTGTATTTTAATCAGTGGTTTATTAGTACTACTGACTTTGAGTCTCGAACATTATAGTTTTTCTTTAAAAGTCAAACATGTATTTCCCAATTTTCACCACTTCTTCTTTTTTGCTTTTTATTATCGAAAATGTTACAGTCTCGTTACGGAACCATTTTGTCGGATTTGTAATCGTTAAATCATCATGTAATTGTCAGTGATAGTTGATCTAACGGTTATAAATTCCAACGGAATGGTTCAAGAACCATTCCACTGTATTTTTCTGTTAAAGGAAAAAAATGAATCAAAATTGAATTTGAATGGGTCCTTGGAGTAGATTGATTTTTCACATTTCTTATTGTTACCATTCAGTTTTTCATCCCTGATTTTTTGGATTAAAAATAGTGGAAATTCAATAATATTTCAATAGTCAATACATTGTTTTTTGCAATTTATTTATTATTGACACAACAAAATGCCTTGAAAGTAGGAAAAATACGAGACGTGGGAGTTAAACCTAAATTTCATCCATTTCGCTAGAGATTATAGAGCTTGTTTGGAAACACTTTTCAAATGGACTTTTGGATGCAAAAGTCCATTTGGATAAATATTTATGTTTGGTGCTAAGTTATGAATGGACTTATGGATAAGTTGTTTCTCTAAAAAGTCCATTATGTAGAAGTAAATGATAAAGACTTATGGAGAAGTCCATTTTGGAGAAGTCCATATCTTAAATGGACTTTTTGAGAAGTGTTCCCAAACAAGCACTATATAGTGCGCTTGTTATGTTTTTTAAAACTTTATATTAAATAAACATAATTATTTATATTTAATATCTTATTATGGTAATAAAAAAATATATACAAAATATAAGAAATCATATGTCATTTTTTTAAATATATCTCCAACCAAATTAATAACATCCAACATATATATAATAAAATTAATTATATGAATCGTCATGTTTTTTTAAATATATATTTATTTAATAAATATGAGATATTTAATATTTGTATTAAAATTATAATTTGGATATGAGGAAAAATTGGTGTGAGAAAAAAAAAAAAAAATTGTTACCAAGAATCACGTAATATGATATTCTTTCTAAAATTCAAAAAAATGTAGTTAGATAAATATGGACAAAAAAATCATCAAATAAGTTGAACAATACGAAATTAACATTCTTTATGTAAAAAATATAATTTTTTAGTTGTGACAATAAAATATGAGATTTGAAGATAGATAAATATAGATCAAAAAACATTTAACAATTAAGTTGTCATGACTTTTCGGAAAGATTAAAAAAACTTCAAACATTTTATTCGTTAAATGAGTGATCAGATTTTTGTAACCGAATTTACATGTTTGACTGAAAAAAATTAAAGAAATTACTGATCTATTTTTCTGGAAGCAACATTTTCAAGATTCTTTTCCACTATTGTTCATATTTACCCATTACATTTAAGGAATCATTGCCATATTCTTAGATACTAGTACGTAACTCGTGCGATGCACTGGACATAAATATTAAATGAGTTATTATCACAGTCTTTTTCGTTAAGTCTAAAAAGTAAACATTGAGTCTAAAACACGATAGGGTTATAAGCTTTTTTTCACATCTTTTAACCAGCGTTGTTTTTTTAATCAGAACATTAAATATAAGCATGTTATGGCTAACTTATAAAATAATTAATATATTACCTCACTAAAACATTTATACTAATAAAAATTTACTTTTAGCATATAAATTTATCCCTTGATATAAGAGAAAGTAACAGTTTTACTTATTCTTATTCACCATATGATATTTAATTATTATTTTATTATATAATAAAAAGGAATACCGTAAAATAATGTAGAAGAATTGCTATAAAATTATATGAATTATTTTTTTTTTACAATATGGATTTAATATCTTTTTATGATTTGATAACATAACTATAATATATTTTTAATGATATAATGGTTTACTTTAGTACAACTAGAATGCTGATTGCAAATAGAAAAAAAAAAAAAAAAAAAA